CTTGCTCGCTATTTAACAAAATTGATCCTCTGCCTCACAAAGCAACGATCTGAAAGCGCTGGCATAACGTCGTCAACATATTATTTAAGCTTTATAAATTTAGAATTTGAACTTACTTTTAGCAATTACATGTATATGTAACATGACCATGAGTTTTCGCGTACTTCGGTAGGCGCGCGCTATATACTTTAAGCGTGAGGGCTTTGTCATACGTTTAGTTGCATGACCCGCCGCGCACAAGTGCAATTTGCAGCTCATATAATATTTTACCTGGGGACCTCAGGCTATTATGTTCATAATAGAGATTTGGCGGAATGACAGGCTGAGCGCCGCCCAGTAAATAATATTTAAATTCTATTTTTGTTTTTTAAGTTAATGTCATATCCAGTTAATTGTTACTATGTACTATTATCAGATATTTATAATTCAATATGTATTGATTCTTCTGTGGAAAAATAAAAATTGTATTTTACTTAAAATTATATTTTACTTATTCACGGATTAATACTATACATGGCACGCCAATCGCAATTTACCTGGGGACCCCAGGTAAGGCTATTATGTTCATAAACATAATAATATATAAAGATTCGGCGGAATGACAGGCTGAGCGCCGCCCAGTAAGCTTCGAATTGAACTCGTCTTGTCATACGTTGTATGACCCGCCTGTATCATAAGCACGATATAGTGAAACGACAATTATTAATTAAATGGGGGTCACGATGTGATACAAACTTAGCTACGGTGTTGGAACAAATATTTTACTAATATCACTCCAGAGGGGAGCTGAAACCAGGTTTTCGAGCTGCCATTTGTATTGATTCACGATGTCAATCCTTCTGCCTTCGCATCTCGCCGATCTGCATACAATCTGTGGTTGCGAGAAGAATTATTTGATGCGCATTATTGTTATGCGCATTATAATTTTTACTGCGCATCAAATAATAGTCTTCTTAGCTTTGTTAACTGCCAATGATTCATGAACTTCATCAATCAAGAATAAACTTGAATTCTGACAGTTAAGTCTGAGTTTGAAGTTGACTGTTTTATTTTTAAATAAGTTCAGTTATTGAAATTGAGTGATCAATAATAAATTGGAATTATGTTATTACGACAGTTGTAATTATTTAATAAATATATATTGTTTTACCAGTGTATAGTACAAGATTTGTGGAATGAACTTTGAGGTAAATTGGAATGTTTTGCTGAATCAATATTATATCATGTACTGCTGTTTTCAGGACAACAGACCAGTAAATGGACCTGTTCCAAACTTCAAAGACTGATAATTACAACGAATAACAAACTAATCACTTTAATAGCATATTGCTTATCTCTTTAGTCGATATTTTGGCTGCTACCTGCTCTATAACCTTAATGCAGCCTGGTCCTACTGTAAGGTCATCTCTTCTGCAATTCGTCATGTAAGTGCCAACTTAGAGTGCAGTGGCGTAACAAAGGGCCCCGCTGTGCGGGGGGGGGGGGGGGGGGGGGGGGGGGGGGGCATCCTAGGAGTGCGCAAAATCGACGTTTGAATGTGGGGCAATTTTGAAAAACTTAACTGAGGTACTAGCAAAACTGCACGTTTTGCTCTAGAAACACACTTTTTAGAGATTTTAAAGGCGTATCCTCTAAAATCACCTCATTTGTTCACTTTTAGGGAGGGGCACCAAAAGGGGAGGGAGCGTCAACAGGGGAGTGCATTTTCGGCGGGTGGCGCCAACAGGCGACGTTACGCCACTGCTAGAATGCTGCTATATAAGGTTGTTCTACTATTAAGTTGTAGGTTGATAACCTACCAGGACCCGCGCCTAGTTGGACTTGTCGACGGTCCTGAAACAAATATTTTACAAGTATCACCCGTTAACTATAAAGTTGCCTTTGGGTAAAAAAATTGGGTAATCTTTTGGCTCCTCAAATGTATTTTTACCGATTGATTTTCTGGCAAATGATATGAATGTGTCAAAGAGTATATATACATTATACAATAAATTTAGTCAAGTGATGCAATTGGCAGAGCACAATACAGAGGTATCAGGTAACGGAAATTGTCCACTGCTACCAATGCAATATTATATATGAAACATCAGCAATCAGTCAATATTATATAATACACATCTAGTCCATCATAGGGGCAGGGATGAGGTTGTAAGAGACTTCTGACAAAGATGTCTCATATTTTTTGTCCATTTTTTTGCCTCTGTAACCTCGTAGAGTGATGAGTGTTGTCCTTAACATGGCAAATCTTATTCTAGTCCTCACATGCCTTACCACATCGCAATATCTCTCTTTCATTTTCCTGGCTATGAGGTCTGCTACTCTGTTTACAAACAGCTTACACTCCTTGGGCATGCGTGCCTCCAGTTATGAGAAATACAGCAGGGGTGGAGGTGGCCTTCTCCACGTCCATTGTCTGGCAAATTGATTGATGAACTCAATTCAATTGATATACAGATCTTTTCTTCTTATTATTGGTCACTGTCGACCGTAAGCCTGCCTGTACTGCTGCTTTCACAACGCGTTTCTAGCTTCTGCTGCAGGAGAGAAAAATACTCCCAAGTTGTATGCCATATTCATTTTAATCATAGATATTGGCAACAGACTCCTGGTGCAACCACATCGGTTTAGGACGGAGAGACGAGACTTCCAGGTGCTGTCATGGCCTAATATTTGGGTAGGGTATGACAATTTATTTTTTACTAAGACACGCTAATTAACCAAATGTGAAAAAAGAAATATAGAATAAATGTTTAGTATTCTTTAACTATATACCTTGTTTTGGGTTTACATTGTGGGTTATCTTTGCTAAATCATTGATCTCGAAATGTATTCAGGAAATGTCCCTTTAGCTAAATGATGTCAGATCCCGACATGAATCAGGCTAAAAATTATCCTACAAACGACTCAGGTATTAGTAGTTCAACAACTACACGTCAAGATAGCCCTCATTCCAGTCAATTACCCACAAAACAAATAACTATCCTAAAAAGGCCTGAAAATAGATCAGATCTTTCGAAAAAAGATGAAAATAAAGCTGAGAGTAACTGCAACGCAGCAGCAGCAACTCCTATCGATAAATCTTGCGAATTGCCAAGTCCCACTGTGGTTCCAGATGGAGCAAAGCTATCTCAAACTGAGTCAGAGTCGAGAAATAACCTTATTTTAGATAGTAATACTATGGCTGATTGTGATGCAAAACACAAATTTGTAACCACAGTAGATGAGCCAAATAAACTGGGCAAATCCACAAATGAGATATCTAGTTTTGCATCTGAAAATGCCAACACAGCCTCTTCAATGGAATCACCATCAACCCAGAAGGACCACTTCAACATAGGGACAACGACATCAACAAATCATCCCATTAATACAGTGAATGAAAAACCTGAGTATACTGACAAGGAGTCTTTAATAAAAGAATCAAAAATTACTGATAAAGCTCTCTCCTCTGAGTCAGACAGTTGTAAAAGCTCAACAGATCCCCCAAAGAGGAAATTACCAGATTTGCCTGCAGATTTAGGGCCACTGAAAGTAAGATGTACTTCCATGTCACAGGAAGTTTTACAATTGCTTAGTCAAAAGATCAAGGAAGATTTAGTGAAAACTAAAGATGCAAAGGATGTAGCCCGTTCTCAGCAGCTAAGAGAGTTATCATGGAAAGTAACTGATATGATTGCTCTGGGTTCATCAGCTGTGAAAGTATTTGAGACGAAATCTGCATATCAAATGCAGAGAGAGCGTGAATTAAAGAAATACAAGAAGAAAAATCGTAAACGGAATCAACCCCCAATTGAAGATAATGACAATGGCAACAGAAATATAAGTGATAAATTTCACCAAAATGATCAGTGGAGACAAAATAGAGGTGGCCAAAGAGGTCGTAGGGGTAATAAACATTACAATAATAGATCAAATTGTCACAGTGCCAGTGATAAAAGTTGGAGAATGCCCAAGTTCAACGCAAAAGCAGCAGAGAAATTTGCCAATTCTTTTGTTAAAAAGATAATAAGCCAAGCAGTGAATCAATTCATAGCTGAGAAGGAGAAACTTCAGATAGACAAGGAAGTTTCTATGGCTATTGGACTTGTTAATTCTATCATAGGAAAATCGATTCAATCCTTGGTCGTTGAATCTGCTATGGCCAAGAATAATTTATCTCTTACTGAGGCTGAGTTGCTTTGTGACATGTGCGAAGAGAACATTTCTGATGAAGACTCGTTTTTAATGAATGTTGAAGAAAGTATCTCAATTAAGCAAGAGCCTGGGTTTGGCTGTTAAACCATTTTCTGCTTCTTATAATGTGACTCATTAATCTAGCTGAGATCGAGATCTGATCAATTTAATCTATTTCAATCAATGTGTGTCCTATAATTGATTTTTTTTGGTTTCAGTAAAATATTGAATCTTACAATTATTCACAATATTATATGTCTTATTTTTGAATAAATTAATATTGAGGCTTGTGTTAACTATATAGTTCAATTACTTTTAGACACAGTGAAACCCTGACTTTTCCCAAAAACAGAAAATAGCAAAGCAAAATGTTGTGTACGGTAAATTGTTGCTTGATTGTTAAGTCCCAGCAAGATAAAAGTTTACAGTGACCTGGTGTTCAATCAAATTGTAAATATTCTAATAAAAAGCAGTGAATTATACAAGCCTGACAAACCTGCAAAGGATAAAGATATTTTTAAATAATTCAGGGTTTGACTGTAGTTATCGTTAGAAGAAAACGTGGTTTACGACATTCTTTATTAATTTTAACTTTAATTGAAATACGTTAATGTATATCATTTTTAATCAAAATCCATGTTTCATTTCTTGCATCTTCTTTCAATGTTGAAAAATTGTACATGAGCTGCAAACAAAATTTATCTCATTTGCAAATTTGTTTTTAAATGTTCATTCAAACTAATAAATTAGAATAAAAATCACTGTTTTCATATCAATTTGTTGTTTTTATAGTCTATTTCATTGCCCTAACTTTGATAACATCTATCAGGATGGCATTAGTAAAGGACAGATCTGAGCTTGAGAGTAAAATGTTAGAAATTCAGCAGTGGCTTGCCACTCTGCCTGGTGACCTCCAGAACGAATTTTATGAGATAGATGAGTTTACTGTGGAGTACCTCTACCAACTTTGTCAGGTTTTAAGAAGTTAGCCTATTTGTAGATATGCGGTGTGTTGGATACAGTGACCAAATCTATAGCTGTGTTGTTACTTTTAATAATGATTTGATCAAGATTTATTTGCTCAACATCAGAATTTTTATTATATCATTACATGGTCTCATCTCATTAACCTTTTCTACTTATAACTCTAGTCGAGTAAAAAGAAGGACGAACACTTGGAACTAATGACAAAGACAACTCAGAAAAGGCAGAAGAATACTCCACTGAAAATGATCGTATCACCAAAGAGCTCGCAACTAACGGTTAGTTGCGTGTTGGGATATTGTGTATATATTCCTATGTTACGGGAAATGTGATATTTTGATATATTTGTCGCTTAGAGCATTGACAGTTAGAACGATAAATTATACATGGCATGTCATTTTACCTCTAGATATATTTTTCACAAGACCAAAAAACCTGAAAACTGAAACTTACAGGTGTTTCGGAGATTGATTTGAGTGGCGAGTGTCTGGAAACGTTATCAGAACTCGCTGACGTTGGTAACATTCTAGGGTTGAGCCAGCCTACTTTAGAGAACTATTTGGTAAGTTATAACTAACGTCTTGATATCTATTGTATGAAATGTTCTTCAGTAACACATCCAAATATTGTTATGTTATATCATATGTATATGAGAATTGAGAGTAGCAATGCTGAAGATATTCATTACAGATCAATCTATCGGATCACACGACCGAAGAGTTGGAACTAAAAGACAAGTTAAAAAAGCAAGAAGTAATGATGAAAACCTTGTCGGAGAAGCTGGAAAGTCTTGATCTCACTATTTCTAAATTGAATGCTGAATGCGAGGATGCAGCAAATAATAGGTACGTAATGCGAGGATGCAGCAAATAATAGGTACGTGTTTGCCTTATTTATTCTAAGTCGGGAGAATCTAAGTCGGTTAGATAGTAGATACGTGCGGCTGGCAATATTTTATTATATTCTTAGTATTGAAGCCTGAAGGTATGTAATAGTTTAATTGTATTAACTAGATTAAAACTATTGACAGTGGATTACGTTAATTAATTTTGACACAGAACAGTGATTGACTGATAAAATCCGTAAATCGCTGTCATGTTTCAACAAATTGAGGTCACCAGCCGCAGTCAACTGTTACACAAGTAACTTAATGTATCGTAAATTATAAAATGCACCAGGAGCGATGATATCGACCTGCCTGTCGAGATAGAGACAGCAAAAGCTCAAGCGCAGCATTACGTAGAGAGCACTAAAGAATTCAAGAAGTTGCTCAGTGCCAGTGGTATTAAGAAGGTACATATTTTAAACCATCATACATGTATTATTATATTATCATTTATTATAATATTATCATGTATTATAATATTATAATTTACGAAATAAAGTTGATCAAATATTGGTCCTATTTTTATTGACTGTATAGTGTATAAAGGTCCCCAACTAAACACTTCACATCTCTTTTCAGGAGTACACTCACGAGCACCTACAGAAGATGTCAGATAAAGTGTCAGCACTCTCCGCAGACATTGAGCAAACAAAGAAGAGGATAGCTGACTTCAAGGAGCTTCCTCCGAGCATTCCTCTGGCTCTGGAGAAGATAAGACTCATTAAAATAGAGATTGCAACTGTTGAGCAGGAGTTCCCTGAACTAGCTTGTGTTTCTTGAGGGATTGGGAGAGCTGCATTTTACTTGCAGACAGAATTAAGTAATTTGCGACAAAGAAACTGAAGTATTCACTTGTGTTGTTAAAACACCACTGCATATATATTGACATGATTTAAAGAGCAGTAATTATTGACGAACATATTTGAATCCTGTAATGGGCTGGTTTTAACTTTTTACTGAAAACGTGACAATTCATTGTAGTGATCTGTAAATAGTTTATCTAACATATTATTTGTAATCTGTTCAATTTATTAGTGCTACTAGTACATTTTATTATAGCATCGATAGGTGATTATACCCGATAGCATATTGAACTATTGAAATTGTTTATATTTGATGAACAATACTGTACTAATATTTACTTAACATATTATATTAGTATAATGAAACGCATTTTATTTAATATTATCCTTTTTTGTACTTCTAGCTCGGTTGCATAATTCCCAAGCTGTACTATAATTTACCCGGTGACTAAATCAACAAAATTAGGAACTGATTGAGTATAAATTTATAAGTTTTTAAATGTATAAACAGATTTTCGTAACTATGCTTTGTTTAGAAGTAATTATCTGTTTTTCATAGCTCAGCCACACATGATTGGACCTAAACGGCTGCTCAATGGGCTCTCAAGACAGATTAAAGTGTACGGAAGCAACGTTAACATCCTCAAAACACCCACAGAATTCCGGGACACCTTACTGAAACTTTCCTCAGAAGTGAAGGAAAGATCTAGAATATCTACACTCTACATAGGAACGGGAGATACTGAACACGGTGTCGTAAACAACCTTGTCAGCTCTGTCAAGAAACACGGCTGTGATGTGAGTTTGATGATTGACAGGTACCGGGGTACCCGAGACGGTGGGATTATACTGAAAGACTTGCGGAGGATGGGACTGGTTCACCTTTATCAGGCTCCTTATTGGAGCAGAGTCCGGTACAACAAACCCGGTATTATTGGGGAACTGCTGGGGGTACACCACATGAAGTATTACTTGTTTGATGACAATGTCATTATATCAGGAGCTAATATGAGTGATATTTATTTTGATAAACGACAAGACAGGTACTTTCTGATTAAATCCAAGCAGTTGGCTGACTATATTTGTTTTTTTCATAGTCTACATTCTACCTGTGCTAAAGTGTGGGATGTTGGTAATTACGGCAGGTCTCATTGGCTTGGTAAGGGGAATCTAAATATAGCCTCAACGACAGCAGGTAATTTCACTTGTAACACATCCATTGAGAAGGATACAACTCTAAGAGATTTAGGACCTTCAGACGGTGATACGTTTATCTACCCCATCTTTCAAATGCCTTGCTTCTCAGTCCACCAAATCGACGAAGCCTTGGACTTGTTATTGAATACAGCGGATTCAAATCAGAACTTTACTCTTTCTTCTGGCTACTTTAATCCTTCAAAACGGTTACTTGATTCTCTGAAACATACTAAAGCTCAAGTTGATATCATCATACCCTCTAACGAAGCGAATGGTTTTTATAAAGGAGCTTCTTTGAAAGGATTGGTACCCGACATGTATAATTTATCTGCTATGAGAACCCTTCAAAAGTGTCCCAATGTTAATATATTTCAGTATAGTAGAGATGATTGGTCTTACCATGCTAAGGGTTTGTGGTCCAACAATCTTACGATTTTGGGATCTTCTAATTTCAATCAACGGTCTTCAAGTAGAGACACAGAGTTCTCTGTTGCTATAGTTACTGATAATGATGAACTGAAGGACAGTTTACTTGCAGAAAGGGATAGTTTGAGGCTTCATTCTGGTGATCTTCAGAAATGTTATCGATCAATAAGCGCTGTGGGCTTCCCTATTATGTCTCAGTTTCTGTAGTTATTTATTTTTGAAAGTTATGTATACAATTAATATGATTCATGTTCATTTTTTATGTCGTGGTTTCAATACTCTTGTCGAAATCATTTAATGTGTCTCATTTCACCTCGATAGTATGAATATGCAATTACATTCATCTGGAAAATACTAATAATAACCTCCCCTGGCCACAACACATGTCATTCTGCTGTCTGCACACATGTTTGATGACACGAACACTTCAATAGGTAGTGAGTGAATTTTCTTTAGATGAGTATAAAATTTGAATACTGACATTTTAGTAAACAAACTCATTATCAGGTCAAGCATGTCAAATGAAGAATTTTCTGATTTTAGCTACAGCTCTGGACATCTTGATATCGCATTGGTAGTTTATGTAACAAAACGCCTGGAATGTGTCATCAGAAAATACTTCTGTGGTGATCTAGCAGTCAGTGCACGGATACCTCTTGGTCCTTGGACGTCTCATTAAGAATTACAGTAATATTAGATCTTGGAATAAAAATCTTGTGTGGAATTTAATGGTTTTAGTTGAAAAGAGAAATGATCTTGTTCACAAAATTGAGGTCGATAAGTTTGAAAAAAAGTCTGGTCGAAGAAATTTTGTTGAGTGCAGTAATCGGGTTCTTCAAGTTTTATCCAAAAAAGTTAAGAGGGAGTGGTTGGACAGAGATTTCCGACTTGAGACTGGTGGTTCAATCGTTGCGGATCCTGGCCACACTAGAATGGAAATCAAGAGACCTGGAGAATACTCCTCTGATTACGACATGTTAGACTATCACTGCTGGAATATGATTAAGAAGGACCTCAGTCTGCAGAAGTCTATTTCGGATGATGTGGACGGGTTGTTCGAAGGCTTGCTGCCAATACCGTTTGAAGAATATCTTTCTATTGTTCCCACAGACGAAGTTCCAGAAATAGAACATTTTTATATTTCTGGAACTTCGGCCAAAGTAATCATTCGGGTTTCCGAATGATTACGCTAGTGTAATTTTGATACAATAGCTATGTGTAAAACTGATAACGGGGGGGGGGGGGGGGGGGGGGGGTAAAAATGTTCTAAAAAATGATTACGTAATAACATGTGAACGACCCCTAAACAGTTGCTGCATTCATGTTTAGTGGACCAGAAGCTTGGATTACTCTACCTTACTCAGTGAGAGCATGATCAACTATGTAGAATGTTCAAAACTATACCGATAATTCTCAACCATCCTAGCCTTGCTTATGTCTTGAAAGTTGAATCTTTGAATATTTAAACATCATGAATTGTTATTTGTTTGAAAAGTTGAAAACTGCTCACTCTATTTTCAAATTATGAAGAAATTAGTTTTTTATTAATACCATTATATATATACAAATATTATATTTATCATTTGTTTCAATTAATTTTGCAATGGCATGTATGAGTTAGCAAAACCATTTCGAAAACTGTTATTTTATCACCAAATGTATTGACATCAAGAGTCAACCTGTACGTGTACTAAGAACTGAAGAAGACTATTTCCTCCTAAATGTTCCTCCTATTTCAAACTATAGTAAAACCGAGAGAAGTTTCAGCTACTGCGGACCCTCTGTTTGGAATCAGCTTCCTTATCAATTGAGAACACTAACCGATATCGTCTTATTTAAATGAAACTAAAAACTCATATCTTTGAAAACGTATAATTTGTATAAGTATCATGTATTACCTTTCTCATAAAATCCATACTTCATGAAGCTTCATAAAAATAAGTTCTTATGTACATGTTACTCATGAGTCGCTTTAGATGGTTTGAACTGAATCTTTGGGTTTTGAGTTCTTTATGGCTATAAAGCAATGTATAAATTCCTACTTATTATTATTATTATTATTATTTTTCTGACGTTAATGTTTAAGTTCGAAGACTATTATTTTTTGACGTTAATGTTGAAGTTCGAAAACTATGTATCATTTTTCTGACGTTGATGTTTATCTGATTTTTATTTAATTTCGCTTAAAATTTATTATTTTTTCACGAATATCTTTGATTTTACTTCATTATTTAAATACCTACTTAATTTAGATTCTTTACTATATAAATTTTGAAAATTGTAGTCCTGAATTCAGTTTATCGAAGTTTTTAATTTTCGTATTGTTTTATTTGACTTTAAGCGAATTTAAACACATTTATCTCAAATCAGCCCTTAAATTCCTCGAATAATGATTCTAAACATTATCTGAACTATCATTTTCATTCGCTTAGCTATATAATGTTTCCCGATAAATTTACTATAAACATGTTAGGCTAAGTGAAAAGAATATAAAAGGGTTTAAGGTATCAGGTATTGTTATATATCAGACCATATTATTATAGCCACTTGCTAAAACCTGGCCCTCTAATCATCAATCATAATATTATGGTCGTTTGATTTAATAACTCATTTGTAGCAGTGAAATATCCATGATTTCAGCATATTGAGCGTAAGTATGTGGATATATTCATTATTATACAGGGTGTGGTCAGGTAGTCATTTCTTTGCAAAAGATACATTCCCTTCCCCCATACGTACTAGCGTGAACTAGTGGATTATCTTATGAAACTGTTATAGTCTACCATGATATCAATTACTAAATATAAAGATTTAGAACTTCATTCTTTCTCAGGTCAAACATGTCAAATGAAACTGTCAGTAAAGAATTTTCTGCTTTTAACTTTCATTTGCAGCCTGGACATACTGATATGGCTCTAGCAGTTTACATAACAAAGCGCCTGGAATGTGTCATCAGAAAGTATTTCTGTTCTGACCAAGCACGCACGCTACGGATTCCTCTGGGGCACTTCATCAGAAAGTACAGTAATTTTGGGTCGAACGATGAAGACATAGTGTTCAAATTATTAAGTTTAGTTGAACAGCGAAATGATCTCGTGCATAATATTGAAGTGAACACGTTTGGTAGCAAACAGAGTCGCAAAAGTTTTGTAAACCTAAGTAATGAAATCTTAAATATTCTTAACGAAAAACGCCGGCTTCGTGAAGTGACATGGTACAAGCCGCTCACGTGTGGTGCACTTCAAGCGCATGGTGCATTTCAAGAGCAGAGTGCACTTCCTGTTCAATCCGCATCATCTTGTATACACAGTGCAAGTGTTCAAAATGACTACAGATTGGTCACTCAGTCAGGAGGCTCTTTTGTTCTATCAGCTGAATTCGAGATTAAGAAACCTGCTGAAAGCTCCTCTCTCTACGAATTATCAGACTTTCACTGCTGGAATATGATCAAGTTGAACCCAGCTCTGCAAAAGGCAATAACTGAAGATGTCGATGGTTTGTTTGAGGGTTTGCTGCCGGTGCCGTTTGAAGATTATCTTTCGATTGTTCCTCAATAATCGTAATACAAGTATTAGCAAATAGCAATTGATTTCTGCATTCTGGTCATGGTTACTATGACTACGTTTTCATAATATCTGGACTGTAATAAGTTGAATCTGAAATCATGATAATACAATTACTCAGAACCGTGCCAATATTTCTTAAACAACTAGTTAACTTGCATGAGTCCTTATTAACTGTTTGGGTATTTAATCCGGCAATATTTCATAACTACTCATTTTGTCTTCTCAATAAGTCTTTTATCTTTACCTTACTCGGGATTATTATAACCGGGATAAAGTGGTGGGTTTTGGAAGATTCCGCCATATTTTTCCCGGTCAAAAATTTTACCAGTCATAAAAAAACCCGCCGACTCAAATTATGGGGTTCCAAGGGGGTGGTGATCATCATATTTTACCCGAAGTCTCATATGTGCTAGAGAAGACTTTTGAAGCAGTGGGGGGGGGGGGGGGGCTCATGTTTTTTTGTCCGTTTTTGTCCGTTTGGCAGCTCTATTTTCAAAACGGACAAAAAATAAAGCGGACAAAAACGGACAAAAACGGACAAAAAATAACAAAAATGGAATAACATTTAGATGCTTCCTCCTCCTCATCCTCCTCCTCCTCCTCCTCCTCCTCCTCCTCCTCCTCCTCCTCCTCCTCCTCCTCCTCCTCCTCCTCCTCCTCCTCCTCCTCCTCCTCCTCCTTCTCTTCCACCTCCTCATGAGTCCTCCTCCTCTTCATCCTCCTCCTCTTCATCCTCCTCCTCAGTCTTCCTCCTCATCCTTCTCCTCAGTCCTCTTCAGTCCTCCTCCTCCTCAGTCCTCCCCAGTCCCCCTCCTCCTCCTCCTCCTATTCAGTCCTCCTCCTCATCCTCCTCAGTTCTCCTCAGTCCTCATCATTCTCAGTCCTCCTCCTGAGTCCTCCCACTGAGTCCTCCTCCTGAGTCCTCCTCCTGAGTCCTCCTCCTCTTCCTCCCCCTCCCTCTCAGTCATCCTCCTCAGCCATCCTCCTCAGCCATCCTCCTCAGTCCTCCTCCTCCTCCTCAGTCCTCGTCCCCCTCCTCAGTCCTCCTCCTCTTGGGTCCTCCTCCTCTTCATCCTCCTCCTCTTCCTCCTCAGTCCTCAGTCCTCCTCCTCAGTCCTCCTCCTCATCCTTCTCGTCAGTCGTCCTCCTCCTCAGTCCTCCCTAGTCCCCCTCCTTTTCCTATTCAGTCCTCCTCCTCCTCCTCAGTTCTCCTCCTTCTCATTCCTCCTTCTGAGTCCTCCTCGGACTCCTCTTTCTCCTGAGTCCTCCACCTGGGTCCTCCTCCTCCTCCTCCTCCTCCTCAGTCCTCCTCCTCCTCCCTCTCAGTTATCCTCCTCAGTCATCCTCCTCAGCCATCCTCATCAGCCATCCTCCTTCAGCCATCCTCCTCAGCCATCCTCCTCAGTCTTCCTGAGTCCTCCTGAGTCCTCCTCCTCCTCCTGAGTCCTCATCCTCCTCCTCAATCCTCCTCCTCCTGGGACCTGGGTCCTCCTCCTCCTCTTCATCCTCCTCCTCTTCCTCCTCAGTCCTCAGTCCTCTCCCTCAGGGGGGGGGGGGGGGGGCCAATGACTACTTTTGGGGACTTGGGGAATTACGTCAACGATTTTACCCCGAGTCCCCGGATGATTTTTAGTCCCCAAAAGTCTCCATTAGTCCCCATTTAGATGATTTTTAGTCCCCATTAGTCCCCAAAAGTCTCCATTAGTCCCCATTTAGATTTATCCTACTCTTATCTTGGACAAAACATCTCGA